TTCATAAAGCACAAGATTATAGTTTTTTAAGAGTTTTTGGTTGCACATGTTATCCTTTTTTAAGACCCTATAATCAGCACAAATTTCAGTTTCGTTCTTCTGCCTGTGTCTTCTTGGGGTATTCACCTGTTCACAAGGGATATAAGTGTTTAGACTCTAGTGGTCGTGTCTATGTGTCGAGACATGTTCGATTTGAAGAAAATGAGTTTCCTTATCAACAACACCAAAGTTTTCCCACTATTTCTGGTAAGTCGGTATTAAACAGTCGAAAGCACTTAAGTGTCAACAATATTTCTCAAAATAACTTGTTTTATCCTTCATTTCTTTCCATCCCCACTAGCACACACAATCACAAATCTGTCTTACCATCTACTACACCATCGACATCATCACCTTCATCTCATTCAAATTTACCATCAACATCATCACCTTCACCACATGTATCATCTCCATCACAAAATTCATCTCATTCAAATTTACCATCCACTACACCATCAACATCATCACCTTCACCACATGTATCATCTCCATCACAAAATTCATCTCATTCAAATTTACCATCCACTACACCATCAACACCACTACTATCTCCACCTCCATCAGTACCGCCTCCACCTTCACCATCTCCACCTCGTCTAGTTCAAAATGCTCATCCTATGGTCACTCATGGCAAAGCTGGTGTTTTTAAGCCTAAAGTGATGCTTGCTGAGACAAGTCCTCAAGAGCCAGCAAATGTCTATGAAGCATTGCAACATCCTGCTTGGTGTGAGGCTGTTCAAAGTGAATATGATGCTCTTATGAAGAATGGTACGTGGGAATTAAAGCCTCTGCCACCAGCACGTAAAGCAATAGGCTGTAAATGGCTTTTTAAAGTAAAAAAGAAGCCTGATGGGTCAGTTGAAAGGCTTAAAGCTCGTCTAGTGGCCAAGGGGTACTCTCAAATGGTGGGAAGAGATTTTTCCGAGACATTCAGTCCAGTTGTTCGAGCAATTACAATAAGAACTATATTGGCAGTTGCTGTCATGAAAGATTGGCCACTTAGACAAATTGACATCAACAATGCATTTCTCAATGGGAGGCTAACAGAGGAAATATACATGTGTCAACCTCCAGGTTTTGAGAAAAAAAAAAGTGAAGATGGGAAGGAGTTGGTATGTTGCTTGAAGAAGGCTCTTTATGGGCTTAGACAAGCACCTAGAGCATGGTTTGAGACCTTGAGAAAGTTTCTGGTTGAAAGCTTGAACTTTGTTGCTTCAAAAGCTAATTCTTCTCTGTTTTTCAGGAACTCAGCATGTTCTCAAGTGTTAGTAATGGTATATGTAGATGATATAGTTATCACGGGAAGTCAGGTGATAGAAGTGGATGCAGTAGTGCAAGCGATTAATAAGGAGTTCTCTCTTAAAGATTTGGGACAACTAGAGCTGTTTCTTGGAATGCAGGTTGAACATTCTCAAAGAGGCTTGTTTTTGAATCAGAACAAGTATATCTCTGAGCTACTAAAGAGGTCAAGCCTAGATGAGTCAACTCCCACACCTACTCCCATGGTTGTTGCTCCTAAACTCAAAGCAAATGATGGACAGTTGTTTGGTGATGTTCATCTTTATCGCAGCATTGTAGGAGGTTTGTAGTACATATGTTTAACAAGACCTGACATAGCCTATGCAGTTAATAAGGTTATTCAGTACATGAACAGTCCATGTGATACTCATTGGAGGGCAGTGAAACGTATATTGAGGTATCTCAGTGGGACACTTGAGTATGGGCTGTTTTTCTCACAAATTAAAAATTTCAGTCTTGTCTGCTACACTGATGCAAACTGGGCAGCCTCGGTGGAAGACATGCGATCCACAACAGGCTATTGTGTGTACCTTGGAGGTAATCCAGTTGCATGGTGCTCTAAGAAGCAAAGCGTTGTCTCCAGGTCTACATCAGAAGCAGAGTATAGGAGTCTTGCTAATTCTGTTTCTGAGTTGGTTTGGATTGAACAACTACTTGGTGAAATAGGGATTAGTGTAATTGGAAAGCCAGTTGTGTGGTGTGATAACACCTCTGCAATTTCTATGGCAGCAAATCCAATGCATCATGCTCGAATAAAGCATGTGGAAATTGATATTCACTTTGTGAGGGAAAGGGTTTTGGCTGATCAACTTAGTGTAAATTTTGTTCCTTCTGCAGAACAGGTAGCAGACATGCTCACCAAACCGTTGCCACCTGCAGTATTTGGTGACATGCGCTCTCGTCTTGGTGTAAAGTCTTGGGCAGAGATCAATGGTACCAGTCATGTGAAGCAAGTCTGAATATGTCAGGAAAATGTTGAATTGGAAATTCAGAACAGTAGAAAACCTAGAGAATATTAGAGTGTTATATAGCTGTTAGTAGCTGTACTGTAACTGTTTTTAGTTAATCTGTTGTAACTGAATTCTAGTCAGTTGGGTCGTTCAGATGGGCTAGTTGGTTAGCTTTAGTTGTATATATAGTGGGCTTGTCCACTATTAATGAGAAAAGTTAAGCATTTTTTGTTTTTTTCTCAGAACATTGTATTCATTTTTTATATTCAATTCACTTCAGTAAACGTCATACTCTCCCTTTAGTTTTGGTTATCTCCTTCCTTTCCAGTTTATCACTGATAGCTGAGTTTGTCATTTACTTTGTCATTTACTTTCAGTAAGGACGGTGGAGAAGTTCATATTCAATCTGGTTTCTTGATGTCGGACATGAGGATGTCGAGTTGCCACTCTTTCTGCTGCGGTTGCAATAGCCTGAACTATGTCATAGGTCCATATCCCATACGCATTTGATTCCATTCCCTATAAATTTTGATTTTCATCATGGTTTTTACTCCACCTGATCCCGAATCTGCGAACCGCCTTGGACGATGGAAAGCAAGGTTTGAACCCCCACCTCCCCTGCATTGACTCAATGACTGATGGATCCATCGAATTCACGAAATTTGTTACCATAGAAGTCATGATCCAAGCACACCCTCGACCGATCATTCCAAACCGTTTGGACCATAGCTTCTACCCCATTCGACTAAATAATCTCTCAATACCATTATCTCACAAAATTTATTTTCCCGATGCAATATTACAAAAATTTAGCCGTATATATTTCAAAATATAAATAAATAATAAAATCAAAGTCCTAGGGTTTTGCATTAATTTTTTTAAAGTATATATAACTATCAAATTGTTTTTCAACTTTAAATAATCTGAAGGGTAAATTATAATTTTGGTAATTGAACTTTATTCTCTCTTAGTTCATTCATTATATTTTTCACTTTTCAATTTAATCACTAAATTTTATACATTGATTTTTTAATCACTCCACCGTTTTCTACAATATGATGACATGAGTTTTTTTAATTAATTTTTGAACTAACTATTATTTTTTTAATATCATTTTTATTATTTTCATCCCAACAGTCCAGCACCCCTTTTTCCCTTTCTTCAACGATTAAAGTTTTAGCACGAACCAAACTACATTAATAGTTAAAGAAATATTTGTTATTATCAGAAATCACAGGTTCGATAATAGAGACTGCATGTATTTGTGCTCAGATAACGAGTCTTTATAACATATACTATTACTAAATCTCAGACGTTTGTTAAACATGATTCCATGGCTTGATTGCAGGGATATGGAAAGTCTCTATGGTTAATGCATCAGATGTTTAGATCCAACTAAGGGTGTGGGTAGGTATGTGAAAAAGACTTTTTGATGAAAATGGATGGGTCCAAATGATAGTTTTTTTTTTATGCAAAAGCAAAATTGTAGGTGAAGAAAATCTTAAAACGGATAACCAATGAAGTTCTATAAAAACTAAAAAAAAAAAAAGAATCCTCACCACCATTGACGTTATCTTTATTCCACTAATTTCCCTTCCCATGTTACCCATCAGGTAAAAGTATACATAGGAGATGGATGGTATTTAGGTTTTAAACAAAGGCACTTCAATGTTTGGTCTCCACCAGAGTTCTGTACTAGGGTAAGCATTTCTTTCTCGCACCACCTGACCCACAAGACACTCGCTTTCTCGACTGCAGGTTGGCAAGTGTCATCCTCATAACCAAAGTATCTCCTGCGATGACTGGTTTCCTAAACCTTTATCTTATAAAGAGGACTGTGATGGGACACTACTAACTACAGTCGATAACCTTTCAAGGAGTCTCACAACCGCTCTCCATCACTAAAGAAGAGCTTTCGACTAGCCTAGCTTTCACTAAAGAGCTTAAAGAGGCGAACTCCATTTAATAAGCTAAAGGTCAAGCTTTGAGTTTAGAGAAAGATGATTTGGTACCTATACAAGCAATTTCGATTGAATCTGAGCCCCTATTGTTTACTATTATTACACAAGTAGAAAAAGAAGTTCTTTCAACTCCGGCAAAAAAGAAGTTTTCCCAAGAACCCCCCACTTCAGGTTGCAGCGTAATAAGACCTCTAACTTGTGTGCCTACACCAAGAAGACACTACGGATAGCCTATATTGATACTGAAAATGAAATAAACAGTTTTTGCCTGAAGGCTCTCTGGTGCTCGTAAAGTCATGTTAACTTGGTTTCATAAAAATTAAGGTGTTTTTGAGTTAATCTGTGCAGTCCAAGGTCAAAGAAGACATTGACTTGGTTCCTTTAATGGCTAGTATTTTATCAGTTCAACACGTCATAACACTGTCAGAAATTTAACGGCTGAGAGAATATAAAAATCATTGTATAAAGTTTGGTGACTAAATTGAAAATATTAAAAGTATGATAATTGAAATATGAGAAAGAATAAAATTCAATTACTAAATTTGTAATTTAACCTAATTTAAAATACTAATATTTATATTTTCGAGCTCCGTAAACACAATACCAATTGCATTTGATACCGTAAATTTATTCTTACTAATCTTATTTTTAGTATTCATTTATATAACCATAAGTCCATAACTGAGTAAAAAAAAGTCCAAATTAACTTATTATACAACTTTCTTTCTGTTCCTTGGAAATCTCGTTTACCTTAACGGCCGAGACTAAGAGCAGCCTCGACGTCGAGCCGCCATGCAAAACCACCGCGATCCATTTTCCAGACATCACAGGGCAACATTATCGTGGAACACTTGTTCTGCCACGTGAACTGCAACCTCACCTTGCATGAAAATGCAGTGCAAAATTTAGGTAAATCTTCTTTAATCACAAGCCAAACCTTTATCTCCGGCAACGACACCGGCGGCAGCCGCACCTTAAGCCCTTCCGCCGCCGTCAGCATCCTCTTATATGCCCCGTTAACCCACCGAACCCTATTCAAACCGTCGGATATAAACCCTGGACACGTGTCGGTCTCCAGGTTCTTCATCTTCTCCACATCAGTATACCCTAGCTCCCTCCCTACCATGCAAGTATCCGTCACGCATTCCACTGTTACACAAGAATCAACCACCGTTTGAACTACCGCGGTCGTACGATCAGGTTCCTCCAAAAGTCCGACACGATTAATGCAACGGCTGTTCGAGTTCGAGTTCGAGTTCGAGTTGAACAAAGAAGGTAGTAGATCTTGATCATTTTCCTCTGAAACTGCACTGTTTACATAGTTGATTGAACCGTTCGCTTCAGTTTTCTCCGGTAATAACTGCAGAGTCACAATATTTTCGATTTTATTTGAAGCTTGTTGACGATGATCTGGTGTTGATGATGATGATCTTTTCTTTCTCTTGATATTATTCTTTCGAACCCTAACGTACTTTCTTTTAGCTCTTGGCTTACAAAGCAACGAGTTTTTGTTACCAAACTGACACCCACTGGAATCAGACTCTCCGGTCACCGGTTTCGGAGCGATTGGACGGAATCTTAGCAGTATCGGATTGATATTCACCGTCTGTGAACCCCATGTGTAGCTTACAAAGCTCCCTTTCTCACCACTGTTATTCATCTTTTCGACGCCGGAAAACGCCACAAACTCTCTGCACTCTTTTCTCTGCTCGTCTCTTCAAGCTCTCAATCTTTTTTTTTACTTGAATTACAATTTTAATTTTTAAGGGTTTTTTTTTATGAGAAGCATAATCATAGCTGCATAACAGAGAATACAACACGTGTTTAGTGCAACTTATGAACAGATGAGACGTTTGATTGGATAGAACTTTAGATAGATAGTATATTAATCATAGCTCCATCGTAATAGAGGTTTTAAACGGCGCATTTACGACACTTTTGTCTGTAATATTTTTTTTTACATATATTGATTAATATTTTTTGAAATAGTACTATTTAACTGACGTGGTATAAAGGTGTATTTTTGGGACACGTCATTACGTCACGTCAGTCGAAAATATATTACTTCAAAAAATATTAATTAACAAATATTAAAAAAAAAATTATAGATAAAAGGTGTCAATTAAATAAATGCGTCCTTTTAAACTTCAACAGAAGTTAACATTCAAAAAAAAATACTATCTTATCGTATGGTAAAAAAATAAAATAAGTACCAAAATTTTGAAATATAATAGGTAAAACCGGCTTACTTGAAACAATTATTGAAATATATTAAATAATAAATATGAAATACGAGATATAGTGTACCGAATTTTAGTTTACAGCTCCTAAAAGAAAAATTGTTCATAGTGAAGAAAGAGACAAGATTTTACCAACCTAGTTGGTGGGTGAAAGTAAAATTAAAATGAAAACAATAAATAATTACTTAAATTACTGTGTATATTTTCAATGTTGAGTAATATTTTAGAAACTATGTGATCTTGTATTAAAAATAAAATAAATTAATTTCTTTTATTATACTATTTAATTTTGATTAATTAAATTGTGAAAAAATTTTACTGCTAAAAATCTATTATTAAATAGTTTGTAAAAAACGATGAAAATGTAAAAGAGAGCTGGAGATGGGCCCACGACGAAAGCCAATCAGAGAGAGCTTAGTGTTGAGTAGGTGGAGAAAGAGACGGGATACGTGGACACCGTCTTGATAAAGGAGCCCTGAGTTTTGAAAAGCAGCATTAACGGGAGGTTCGAGACAGTGCTTACGTGGTCTCACTTCATTACGCCTCAATTATTACTCACCGTTACCGTTATTCTTCGACTAAGAAAATTAGGGTTAGGATTGACTTATTTTTTTATACTATATTGATTGATTCAAATAAAAAATATATAATTATTTAATATTAATTGAAGAGATCGTAAGATATATTTCCTTTTTCAAATTCCACGTATGAAAATCCTAATTAATGTTAGACCTGAGACCTATTGTCTCAGAGGTCCAACCATAAGAGTATTAATATCTACAAAAATATGGGACTTCGAGTGAATCGTGAGGGGAGATATGATTTTTGAGGGACATCTTCGAAAAATATTTATAATTATAAATAATAATGAATAATTATCTTTTATTAATATAGTATAATAAATAATTTTATTTTAAAAATGTTACAAAAATAAATGAAAATAACTTCTTCCATAAAATTAGGGTGATATCGTACATTTAATCATTTTATATTGAATACTAACCTATAGTATATTATAGGCTTAATATTTTCATACCCTAAATTGTCTCAAAAATTATAAAAACTATCAAATTAAATGATGACGTGTGTCATCGTATGATTAGAGGATTAAATTTATGGAATTAAATTTAATTAGAATTAAATTGATAGAATGTATAAATATTGAGAACTAAATATATAATTATGTCAATTTTACTAACTGTTACGTCAATACTTAATGACAAGTGACTTGATTGAATGCTTTACATAATTGGATAATTAGATTGAATAAATTTGAAATACAGCTATGAAAATGAAAGAAGGCAATAATTTGGTGTCAATAGTATAATTTACCCTAAAGTTTGAGAGATCTCAGTAGTCATTCCACCAAATGTCACGTGATGAGTTCTTAGTGTGCAGATCATCCAGTATAATCGCACTGAAGTGCGTGAATCCAAAAGCTTTTGTATTAAAATAATAGAATAAATTACACAAATAATCTCGTTGCTATTCTTAAGATATAAGATATTATTTTATTAAATTTGTTACTATAAAATGTTTGAAAAAAATATTTTTTGATTATTCATATATTTTTTACTAATAAGGTACGAATGGATCGAAAGAATTGGCCGATCAATTATCTTTAAAAATTTTATTTTTTATAATTTAGATATTTTCTTTATACTTTAATTGATAATATATTTTTATCCTTTAAAATTTTATAAATTAATACCTCTAAAATTTTATAAGTTCAACTTTTAATATAAAACTATATATTCATCCTTGATTAAGATTTAAATTTATTATTATATTAATCCCATTAAGTGTCGTGTCATTATTCATTTTTTCTTTACAAAAATTAACAAAACTATTATTTTTCTAAACTATAAAATTAATTTATAATTATTTATAGTTAATAGATTTAAAATTATTTATTTATTTTATTAATCTACAATGATTATGTGATCCTATTTTTTAAAAGAATTTTAATTATTTAAAAATGAACATTTAAATATCCTTACAGGCAGTGAATTTAAATGACTTAAAATTATATTTAAATAAAATTGAATATTTAACAAACAAAAAAATGTTATACCAGCTCCTAAACCTTGCACCGAGTTATTTAAGGAACGGTGTGAAGCACGCGCATAGGACTGAGAGTGGGGTTAGGCAAGAAGTGCTTGAACTGATTGTGATACGGAAATGACTCGTGGATGGTCGGATGTGAGCGAATCTTTGGATAGATTTTGTTGTGACGTGAAAGAATCATAAGAAGGAAAATAGGGAGATGGCTGGGTCCACGTGTCCCCTAATTTAGCAGCTTTGTCATGCAATGAAACCATGAGAGTAACTATAAGGTGAAAAGGGTACCCTCAAGATATTAGGTCATAGCTTTTTGACCTTTCTGTTTTTAATTTCTAAATTCAATTAATTTATTAGGTAAACTACTTATTCTGTCAACTATTTTTATTTTTATTTTTATTTTAATACTTATTTTAAAATTATATTCAAGATTATTTGCGTTCTTTCAGTTTAATTATCTATCGTTAAATTTTACGGTTAATTTAAGGAAAGTAGTGATGTTGATGACAGTTTTAATCTCAAAAATTTATACATTCTTTTAATCAGTTCTTGATATCTAAAAATCCTTTCAATTTAGTCCAACATAAAACCTGAAAATCCTTCTTTCAAATCTCGATCTCCCCAACACCCAATTCCTTGTACGACCTTCACCCTCTAGAATATGACCTCTTGCATTGTTCTTGACCAAAAACAAAGGAGCATGCGTCGTCAGAATTACTTCTAGTTTTTGGCCTTGATTGAATTGTTTTCTTTTATCCGAGCTCTGTTGTCCAACTTGACGAAGCGTTTAAGATCTTCATACGGGAGTGTTTCAATGCTTTTCCTCCTCAGCTCGCTCAATACTATTGGATCATAAACTTGATCCATTATGGGAGCCTAAACCCAAACCCAAACTAAATTGATGTCATTACTTACATCATTTAATTAAAGATGTCATTGTTTACATCATTTAATTAATGATGTCATTGCTTACATCAATTTAGTTAGGTGAGAGTTAGATATTTGTTGAATTTGTAATGGTTTAAATTAGTTTATTTGTGTGGTGTAGGATTGTTCTTGAGTAGTATAAATACCCCTTCCCATTTTAGTTTTAAGCATCAAGAAAAATTAAGAGCTTCTAAGTGAGTGAAGAAGCAAAGTCTTATAAGAGTGAGTTGTAGTTCTTGTTTTTGAGTGAGAGTACTCTTGTAATATTTGTTTGAGTTTCAATAAAAATTGTTGTGTGAGTGTTTTATTTCCAACAAAGTGGCATCAGAGCAAGTTGGAAAGATCGAAGGTCTCGACGAGAGGAATACGACGACGCCAGAATTTTCTCAATCTGAGTTCTGACGCACCGCCACGCACCGCCGGAAGACTGCTGCCAGAAAATCGAGTTGACTCACCGAGTTGAGCCGATTCAGCCGAGTTGGAGCCCTTGACCGAGTTGTCCAAGTCCCTCCAAAGTTTTTTTTTTCATCGTTCCGGATTCATACGTGCAATCGGATTTTACAAAATCTCATTATATTGAGAGATATGGCAAATGGTATGGCACCATTCCAAGTTCCGACACTCAACAACAACTACGACAATTGGAGTATCAAAATGAAGGCACTTCTTGGATCACAAGATGTGTGGGATATCATAGAGAAAGGCTATAATGAGCCTGCGGATGATGATGTTTTTGCTACTCTTACACCAGATCAAAAGACAACTTTGAAGGATTCAAGAAAGAGAGACAAGAAGGCTCTCTACCTCATCTATCAAGCATTAGATGATGATAGTTTTGAAAAGATTTCAAGTGTAAGCTCTAGCAAGGAAGCGTGGGAGAAGCTGCAAACCTCTTACAAAGGATCCGAGCAAGTGAAGAAGGTTCGTCTCCAAACATTAAGAGGTGAATTCGAATCCTTAAACATGAAAGCATCTGAGTCTATTTCAGATTATTTCTCAAGAGTAGTAGTTGTTTCTAATCAATTAAAAAGAAATGGTGAAAAGTTAGACGATGTGAGGATAATAGAGAAGATACTCCGTTCGTTGGATCCCAAATTTGAGCACATCGTCGTGACGATTGAAGAAACTAAAGACTTGGAAGAAATGAAGATCGAACAGCTCCAAGGATCATTGCAAGCATACGAAGAGAAGCATAAAAAGAAGCATGAGTTTACTGAGCAACTCCTCAAGCTGCAATTCAAGGATATGCATGAGAGCCAACGCAATGATAGAAACCAACGTGGCCAAGGCAGAGGTAGAGGCCATGGACGAGGTGGAAGTCGAGGTCGTGGACGAGGCTGGAATTACAACAATAACAATTCCAACAACAACTATGAGAAAGGAGAAAGCTCAACACGAGGCCGTGGAAGAATTAATCCAAACTCAAAGTATG